AGGAGTTAGTGGAAAAATATTAGCTGACAAATTTGGAGTAGGCACATCTACAATTTCAGATATTAAAAAGAAAAGTGAAAGGATTAAAAAGTGAGTAAATGTTTCTTATATTATTCAAACTTACAACACTGTTTACCTTTCAGATTTGCAAAGACTTCTAATCGAAAGTTATTACAAAAACGCAAAACTCTTAAATATGGCGAATATGAAGAATTCGAACAATTCCTATATAATTGGTTTCAGAAGCAACGGGAAAAACAGTTACCCATTTCCAAACAAATCATTTGCCAAAAGGCAAAGACAATGTTTGTTGAAAAATATGGAACAGAAAAAGGGTTTTCGGCAAGCTCCGGTTGGTTTCAAAATTTTAAGAAAAGGTTTTCAATCCGAGGTCTTAAGATATGCGGTGAAAAACTATCCAGTCGTCCAGATCTTTTGCCCTCATTTCGCATAAAATTAAAAGAGATTATCCAATCAGAAGAACTACTTGCATCTCAAATTTATAATGCTGATGAATCAGCACTGTTTTATAAAATGCTTCCGGAAAAAACATTAGTTCATGAAAAGGAAAAAATGCTCCTGGAAGAAAAATGTGTAAAGAAAGAATAACATTTCTATGCGTTTCCAACAAATCCGGTGACCACAAGCTAAATATTGTTGTAGTCGGCAAATCTCGGAACCCAAGGGCATTTAATAAGAACCCTCCTGTAGAATACTACTCCTCTAAAAATGGTTGATGACAACACATTTATTTACGGAATGGTTCCATAAATCATTTGTTCCACAAGTAAAACATTTTCAAAAAGAAAACAACTTGTCGCAGAAAGCCATCTTACTTGTAGACAATGCTCCATCTCATTCAGATGAAACACTTGTTTCAGCATGTGGGAATTATAAAACCGTTTTTCTGCCACCAAACACGACAAGCCTTGTACAACCAATGGATCAAAATCCAATAAGAGTGACAAAAATGTACTATAAAAAGTCGCTGTTGTGTGAAATGATAAATGCTGATAACGAAGATTACACACAATTTTTGAAGAATTTCAATATTAAAATGTGCTGCATTTTGCTAAAAAACTCTTGGGGGAAAGTGAGTGAGAGGTTACTAAGATCCAGCTGAAAAAATCTGTTCAAGGAAGAATGGGATTCTGAAGATAATTTGCCGTTGTCTGTGCTGCAGGAAAGACTTAATTCTGATGAAAATATTGAGGAGACGAATACGACCTTTATATCACAACTAATTCAAAACTCGTTTCAAATAAACATTAACAACGAAGAAGTTGAGGCATGGATTAACGATAATAACTCGACAGTGTCAGATATTCAAATTTCTTCAGAGGATGAAGAGGCTGATACTTTAATTGAAACTCAACCCGTAAAAGCAAAAGATGCTGTTCAAAGTTTAGAAACGTCAATAAAATGGGCTGAAGAAAATAATGTCGGCATAGAAAAAGTTTTTGTTCTCCATGAATTGCGGGAACAGGCATTAGCAAAATGTGTATCTAATTCGCGGCAAACAACTGTACTTGATTACTATGCAAAAAAAATTAATGCCGATTTATGTTAACTTTGAAATATATATTTAATTTGCCTGTACCTATTATATTTTAAGTTTATATTTTTGAAATGAATTTCTTTTTTAATAAAAACAAAAAACTATTTAAAATAACACTAATCTAATACGTATTTAAAACATTTGGAAAAACTCGATAATCCGGAAATCTCGGTAATCCGGATTTGGGTCTGCAATCAATTATCCGGATTAACGAGTTTTCACTGTAATTAGTATAGAGTCTAAACCAGCGGTCGGCAACGTATACATATGCTTTTGTTTGGTCTCACAGACACAAAGTGTGTGAGAGTAACATTCGCTCTCTCGAAAAACTTTACCTGCAATAATACATTGCTACGATCAAAACCATGAAAACAAGCGACAGCACAACTTCCTTCATCAACAGCTCAAACGAGACTGATCGGTGGTTGTTTTCATTCGCGCTCTTTGCGAGTACACATGTGCGTTAAATCGCCGACCATTGGTCTAAACATAACCAGAGAGTCAGGAGTCAGCGGAATACTTTTTGGTCGGCGTGAAACCCAAACGAAAGAGTTAGGGGCTAGCGTCACAAAATGTCAATTATTTGTTCTGCAATGCTCTTCCAAATTTCTTCCTTTTTAATTTTGTTTTTGTAATCAGGACATTCCAAGTTATACAAAATGTCGTGTTTTTCCGCCGATTTTTCTTCCATTTTATTATTAATTAATTATGAAACTTACACAATCTTTGAAAATATTTTTTTAACAGCACTGACATATGTTTTGATATAAATTTTCATTGAAATGTTGGTAGCACTGGTGATTTTTACCTAAACTCCAACTCCATTGAGAGGAAGGGAGAAAATTTGAGTATGACGCTGAGCAAAAATGAATAAAATATATTTTAGCGCCAAGCTTCTAAGAAACACGTTGCCAATAAGAAACACACGGTAAACGACCGTCGCTGGCTCTAGACTCTCTGGTTGTGTTTAGACTCATAGCCTTCTCTAAAAGTTTATAAGAAGAAAGCACAGCACAACGTATAACCTGACATTCAGTTTGAAATTAGGTGGTGGAATGTTAGCAGAAAAATCCCTATCTGAAATCTGAATTATTCAGTAATCCGGATTGTTTATCTCTATCTGACTATGTTATACTAGAGTTGGGTAATCTAGTTCACTTAGCGGATCGATCATTCTCGTTCCGTTTTTTAAAAGGAACTAGTTCCTTAATATAGTTCCTTTGCTCCATATAGTTCATTTGCTCCATATAGTTCCGACTCCTACATAGTTCATTTGAATCTCTCTCTTTCATCGTTCTTTTTGTTTTTTTTTTCATTTAGTTCCTTTGCTCCATCTAGTTCTTTTGTTCTTTATAGTTCCTTTGTTCTTTAAAGGAAAGGAACTACTCTTTATAGTTCATTTGCTCTTTAAAGTTCCTTTGCACCATTTAGTTCCTTTACTCCATACAGTTTCTTTGCTCTTTATAGTTTCTTTGCTCCAAACAATTCCTTTGCTCCATATAGTTCCGAATCCTACATAGTTCCTTTGAATCTCTCTCTCTTTCATCGTTCTTTTTGTTTTTTTCTCGCTCAAATTGTTCTGTGTTGATTTGTTGCAAAAATTGAAAATTGTGCAAAAATTAAAAAAAATGGAACGAAGCTACAGAATTCAACTACAGGAGGATAAGCACAAAATACTTTTTTTATAAATAAAAATATTTAAACCAAAAAAATAAGATTTAAGTATTTACACAACTTGAAATGCGAACGAATGAAGAATATGGGAATAAATGAACGAGATCAGAAAAAAGGAAAAGAAAAAGGAACGAGGTCAGAAAAAGGAACTATATTAATTAAAGAGCTGGAACTAGTCCCGATCGTTCCTTTCTCGGAATAGTTCCAATGAACTAGTTCATTCCGGAACTACCCAACTCTATATTATACAGATTTTGAAGATACATTATCTTTATAAGTTTTAGTTATTAAAATCTGTGTCTGATACGAAACTTCAGTTAGAAATGTGAGCAGTGAATGTTTTCATTGTCAGTGATGAATGTTTGAACGCCTTCAGTAAAGTTGTCACACAAAACGTTACATATTTTAGTTAAAATTTTAACCATTATAATAAAAGTTCATGCTTCTGCAATGAGCATTTTTACTTTTTAATAAAATAATAAAACCGTTTAAACGATTAATATAAGAATACAAATTTAAATCAACTTAAAAATACACTACATAATCCGAATTGGGGTCTGCAATCACTAGCCTGTATTAGCTGGATTTTATTGTATACAAACAAACCCATATTTCATAACTTCATTGGTTTAATCGTGTTTGTTAATGCTATTACCACTTACGTGATAATTAAATGAATTTACAATTAACAATTAGGTAAAAATTTAATTAAAGTTTACTGTACATAGAGTGTATTTTATAAGCGTTCCATCGTTATTAACAGAGAATTATTATACCTAGTGCGTTTATGCGATATTCGAGAAATACCGCATAACAAGAATTCCAGCAAAGTATATATTTTTCAGTGGATGTTCATAAAAATATGAACATGAAACTGGTATTGGTTTAAAATTTTTGGACATTGGTACTTGTCATAAATAATACTTAAGTGTTAGACATAATATGTAAACTCACATAAATTCTATCTGTGTGGGCATGTATGCGCATAAGGGATGATAACACTCAACGCTGCTGAAGACGCATAGCTAATAAAGGATATCTCCACACACATGCGCGCAGCGGGTGAGTAAATAGAGATCACCGCATTGTTGTTTTATGAGTGTGTGAGCTGACAACTAAGAATTGATAGCAGCCCACACACAAAGATGTTGTTGTAACAAATGAACACACTTATCTATAGGGACAATGTTATCTCTTATGTGTATTAGGCTAAGTTAGTTTAGTTTAGGTAGTTCTTAAGGAATAATTTTAAAAAATAAAATCAGAATAGAATTGACAGTCAAGAACAACAGTCTAATATCTTTCTCCTGCAACATTGGTCCTTCGATAAAAAGAATCAGCGACCGGAAAAAATATATATTTTTTAATAAATATTTAAAATTAAAAATTTTTTAAAGACCCCTGCGACAAATTTATTATTTATAGACCCCAGCGGCAATTTAAAGACCCTTGTGTAAAAAAAAAGAAATTAAATTAAATACCCCAGTGGCAAAATTAAAAGACCCCAGCGGCAATTTTAAAGACCCTAGAGGCAAATTAAGAAAAAAGACCCTTTGGGCAATATTAAAAAAAAAATAACAATAATATTATTAGAAAAGACCCTTTGGGCAATATTAAAAAAAAAACAATAATATTGTTAGAAAAGACCCTTTGGGCAACAGTAAAAAAATAAAGACCTTTTGGGCAAGAAACAAAGAGTCACGCAGGAAAAAGGATGGCGTCCAGACTGAATCTATATAAGACACAGAACCAAATCCTTAGAGAAATAATGGGGATTTGTGATAAGGTGCAAGTAGGCTTTGTGAGAAGGGCAGCTGTAGAGGAAACATTGCGTTCCATGGAAAATAAAATACAGGAAGCTAGAGCGAACCACCAGAAATCAATCGCACATGGTGTAAACAACGATTCCTATTTCCAAGATAAGGTGTGGGAACAAATACAGGCTCAATACGAGAGAGCTAAGAAGGCAGTAGAAGGAGAGACAGAAACTGTCCTAAAAATGCAGGAACAGGAAAGACAACAAAATAGCGCACAAATGACGGAAGATCTCAAACTGGAAGAGTTGGAGCCCGAACAGCCTCGGAGCTTATCGGGCCAACAATTTAAGATCGTCCTAAAACAAATGCAAGCAATGCAGGAACAAATGCAAGCAATGCAAAAATGTCAGGAGGAAATACTAAGATCAAGTAAAGAGCAATCGAATCAATTACCGTCAACATCCGAGAGGAAGGAAAATGAAACAGAGACGAATTTACGAGACAAAGCTAAACCACTCGAACAAGCAGAAAACCCAGAGCAAACAGAAACCAACAGATATCGGTTAACCTTATCCCAATACAGAAGGGAGATTAATAAGCACAATGAAGCAGTTGAGGGCGAATTGATGGGAGTTAACAAATACGCGCTGGAACACATGAAGTCATCACTGGAGAAACAATTTGATGAAATTCAAAAACTAAATTTAGAGCTCTCAATGGTACATGACAGGGAAGATACAGAAACGGATTTGGAAGAAATCGAAGAAAAATATGAAGCAAGGATGTACGAAATTATAATGAGAATGGGCGAAGTAAGAGAAGAAACGATGCAAGTAGAATTGAAACCAATTCAGGTCCCATGCTTCGGTGGAAAAGTCGAAGAATGGAGTTCCTTCCAGAACCTATTTAAAGAAATGATTGATTGGAACTCCAAGCTATCGGAGTTACAAAAGCTATATTACCTCAAAACGAATTTAAGAGGAGAAGCGTTTCGTATAGTACAACATCTGCAAATAACGGAAGCAAATTATAAAGCGGCCTGGGAACTGTTGGAGAATTGATATGGTAACAAAAGAGTTCTATTCATAAAATTGGTCGATAGAATTTTAGACCATCCAAATATTAGCAGCCATTCAGCACCATATATAAGGAATTTGTTGGATAATGTCAATGAAAGTATCCATGCCTTGGAAGCAATGGATATACCTTTGGAGCAAGCGGACCCGATAATAGCAAGAATAATTATACGGAAACTTGATAGCGAGGGCCTTATACTCTACGAGCAGAACGTGAAGAAATCAAAAGACATACAGAAACTAGCAGATGTGATGAATTTCTTGGAGCAACAATATCAGGCCTTAGCAGCTTCAGCAGGAAGAAAAAATTTTAACATGGGTGCAAGCAGGCAAACGGAAAAACCAGCAGGAGCGGAGAGAAGGCAATGCAAGTTTTGCAAAATGTCCGGGCATGAAGTTCCATATTGCAGAAAATTTTCGTCATTGCCTCTGCAAGAAAGGGACGATTGGGTAAGGTCAGCGCAGGTATGTGTTAAATGTCTCAAACATGGAAGAGACAAGAAATGTTTAATGGAAGCACATGTCAAAAATGTGGAGGAAACCACAACACATTAATGCATAGAGAGGAAAAGGGGAACACGAAAGTAATGAACACCAATGCAGCAGTCAATGTTCTACTGGCAACGGCACAAGTACGATTAACATCATTGCAAGGAGAATTTGTGACAGTAAGAGCACTAATAGATCAAGGGTCAGAAATTACTTCAATATAAGAGGATATGGCTCAACTGTTGCAAGTACCAAAGAAGAAAACCGAAATCAGGTTACAAGGCCTAGGTGAGACGGTAGTTGGTGTGGCAAAAGCAAAAGTGGCGATAGAAATTCGGCCAAGATTTGTAAGTGACATAAAAATTGTAGCCGAGGCTTTAGTTCTACCAACCTTAGCATCAGCTCATCCTGATAGCAGCTTCCAGTACAACATCCAACGCTGGAGAAACGTAAATCTGGCCGATCCAAATTTCAACAAGTCAGAAAGGATCGATCTGGTGATTGGGGCTGACATATTCCCGCAAATATTGGAAGAAGGAGTTCGGCATGATGCAGCGATCGTGGGTCAGAACACGAAGTTGGGCTGCATTCTTTCGGGAACTATACGAACGAAGCCTTTGAAAAATAATACAAGGTCTGCAGCCACCACAACAATTGAACGATTCTGGGAGATAGAAGAAATTGAAAACGAAGATACAACACTGGAGAATGACTACTGCCTTAAGTTATATGAAGAAACAACACGCATAGACAGCACAGACAGATTCGTCGATCGGTTACCATTTGCGGAAGATAAGGAGTTAGGCGATTCTTATAAAAAAGCGATGACAAGGTTTTTGAACATAGAGAAAAAATTGGAAGGAAGTCCCGAATTAAAAGCAGAATACAGGAATACCATGAATGAACTCCTAGCAATGGGACATATATTAAGAATGGATCAACGGAAGCAGGCCAAGTATTATATGCCGCATCAAGCAGTCGTAAGAGAGACAAGTTTGATCACGAAAGTGAGAGTGGTCTTTGATGCTTCGTCAAAAACATCGAACGGGAAGGCTCTAACCGACATTCTTCATGTTGGGCCAAAACTTCAAAGAGATATTTTTGATACAATTACGAAATGGAGACTATGGAGGTTTGTCATCTCAGCGGATGTGGAAAAAATGTTCAGACAAATAAACATAGCAGAGGAAGATCAAAATTACCAATGCATACTTTGGAGAAATTGCAAGTCAGAACCGGTACAGAAATACAAACTCACCACAGTGACGTATGGAACCGCTTCAGCACCATTTCTAGCAGTAAGAACGCTGATAGAAATTGGAAATAGATGCCAAGATCAAGAAATTGCAGAGAGAATAAAGGAGTAAAGATTTCTACATGGATGATCTGCTTACTGGAGCCAATTCAAAGAAAGAGTGCATGGAGGTCCAAGAAAAAATATCACAGCAATTACAGAAGTAAGGATTCCATTTGAGAAAATGGATTACAAACGCACCAGAGGTATTGAAAGCAGTGAAGCAGTCGGGCGAGAATGAAGTTTGACATATTCAAGAAGATGAATGTTTAAAAACGCTTGGGCTGGAATGGAATCCGGCGATGGACTGTTTTACGTTTAATATGCAGATAATCACTGAAGAAGAAGTCACAAAACGATTGGTGCTGTCGAACCTGGCGAAGATTTTTGATCCATTGGGAAAGTAGAAATACCAAGATGGTTGGAGATTTCGGCAAATAGCATGTTTCAAATACATGGCTTTGCAGATGCTTCCGAAAAAGCATATGCAGCAGTAGTATACCTGAAACAGGGGTCCAAAATAACGATAGTGGCCGCAAAAAGTAAGGTTAATCCCATAAAAAATAGGAAAACGCTACCAAAGCTAGAATTGTGTGCAGCGCATCTCTTGGAAAAGATTAGAGGCGTTTTGAAAACAACTGCAGCAACCTATGCATGGAGCGATTCAATGAAAAAAATGAAAAATAAAGACAAATTTATTAGAAATAGAGTGGCGGATATTTTGGAAAGGATACCAGATGCAAACTGGGGATATGTTAAATCTAAGGAGATATGGTGGAATGGACCTGGTTGTTTAAGATATTCGCTAACACAACGGCTCATCTGCAATGTTCGGACAGGCAAACACTATTGGAACTGCCACAGCAAGGAATTCTTTCATTGGAAGCAGATTGCACGGCAAGGGTTGGCGAAGTAACGTTGGTAGCAGTGCACAAGGTACGCAACGAGGTCACCACAGAATTCCATTCGGTGCTATTTAAGGTGTAACCCAGACCGACAAAGAAGCTATCAAACCCCTGGGAAATGTGCTGATCAACCATAAACAAGACATAGTTCAGCTGAAGGTGATGGTGGACCAGTTGAAGAAGGAAAATGTGGAATTGAGAGGCTTGAAATTCCATCACATATCGACGCACATTTCATTTCCATTAGTAGAAGGAAAATGTGGAATTGAGAGGCTTGAAATTCCATCACATATCGACGCACATTTCATTTCCATTAGTAATTGTAGTAATAATAATTTTAGTTATTTTGTTTATAAGAAGAACAATTAAAATGAAGCGCATATCAGAAATTCAATTTCCCGGGGGACAGGATATCTAAATAAATTATTTTGCCGCCCCGGAGAATGTTCATAAAAATATGAACATGAAGCTGGTATTAGTTTAAGATTTATGGACATTGGTACTTGTCATAAATAATACTTAAGTGTTAGACATAATATGTAAACTCAAATAAATTCGTATGCGCTGAATGCGCATAAGGATATCTAATAAAGGATATCTCCACACACATGCGCGCAGCGGGTGAGTAAATAGAGATCACCACATTGTGGTTTTATGAGTGTATGAGCTGACAACGAAGAATTGATAGCAGCCCACACACAAAGATGTTGGTGTGCCCATTAGGGTAATGTAAACAAATGAACACACTTATCTATAGGGACAATGTTATCTCTTATGTGTATTAGGCTAAGCTAGATTAGTTTAGGTAGTTCTTAAGATTTCGGCAAATAACATGTTTCAAATACATGGCTTTGCAGATGCTTCCGAAAAAGCATATGCAGCAGTAGTATACCTGAAACAGGGGTCCAAAATAACGATAGTGGCCGCAAAAAGTAAGGTTAATCCCATAAAAAATAAGAAAACGCTACAAAAGCTAGAATTGTGTGCAGCGCATCTCTTGGAAAATATTAGAGGCGTTTTGAAAACAACTGCAGCAACCTATGCATGGAGCGATTCAATGAAAAAAATGAAAAATAAAGACAGTCCTAGAATATGGTTGCATTCTTTGGAGTCCGTTTTATAAATGTCACTGTGATAAAATTGAGTCAGTTCAAGTTCAGTTTTTAATCTTTGCCTTGCGTGGCCTAAATTGGAACCCATCGGAATTACTTCCACCTTATAAAAGTCGATTATTGTTAATTAATCTTCCAACACTAGAAAAAAGACGTTTCATGTTAAGAGCATTATTTATTATTAAATTAACACGTGGTCTGATTGATTAACCTTTTCTTACGGGAGAAATAATTTTTAATGTTCCCTCTCGAAGAACACGTAATTTTGAACCGTTGAAATTGTCCATCGCGAGAACTAATTATGAACTAAACAACCCAATGAGGTCCTTATGTGTAATATATAATAGCATAAGTAATGTTATATGCCTAAGTAGTCTATTGCATGCTATCAAGAATTCTATACTGGGCTTGGAAACAGTAGACCCTGAAATTTGAGCAGCAGTTGCCAATTTTTATATTGTAGCTTTTGTTTACTGTTGTCTGTTTAATGTATGTTAATGTAATGCCGGTGTTATTAAACCACTACTAACCCGCCTTAGTCCGGTCTTTGGTGTGTACGTGCTCCCTGCGTATAGGGAGGTAGCCCCCTCGGTCGGCAGGGGCGGGTGCGAGAGGCGTGGGAACGAACGTATAAAAAAATTATTAGAAATAGAGTGGCGGATATTTTGGAAAGAATACCAGATGCAAACTGGGGATATGTTAAATCTAAGGAGAATCCAGCAGATTTAGGATCAAGAGGCGTTCCCCCCGAGATTTTAGTTACCAATGAGATATGGTGGAATGGACCTGCATGGCTAGTAAAGGATGAACGCGAATGGCCCAAAACGGACGCAAAGGCAGCAGTGGTAGCCACAACAAGGATTGCTACGATAGAAAATAGTGTGTATGAAAAACTTATGAAATTTTCATCATACAAAAAGCAACAGAGAGTTATGGCGTACATATTGCGGTTTATTAAAGCATCAAGAGGAATTAAAGCAGAAAAGGAGTATTTAACAGCGATTGAACTAGAAAAAGCTGAAATTGGAATTATTAGCCTTCATCAGGAGCTAGAATGGCCAGCTGAAATGAAACAACTAAAATCATCAGGAGTCGTGGACCATCGGAGTAAATTAGCTTCATTACACCCGCAATTGGACACATTTGGGGTGATGAGAGTTGGAGGAAGACTTCAGTATTAATCGT